CTTCCTGGGCGGTGGAGGCCTGGTCGAGGACACTAAAAAGCCCCGAAATCATCTCAAGATAACCTCAAGATCCAACAGGCTGTTGCTTGGAGCGGCCCGCAGGCCCACATATCCACCACAGCCCGGTTGGTCCGGCACTTCTTGAAGGAAACTATCTAGTTTTCTCTTGAAGATGTCCACGGATATCTACCGTGGACATATCTTCTTGATCCGTGGATACATCTTTCTTGAAGATATCTACCTAATTAGATAACAAATGAGTAGCGACCATATGAGTCATAAATACTCATACTCCGCCCAAGTAAAACAGAAACAAGCAACACTTACTGGGCCAGCCAGAGGCTTAGGGCCCGCGCAGGAATATCCCTGAAAAAAAATGAGTAATAAAAAATAAAATTTTAAATGAGTGTAAAAAAAAATGAGTGAGAAAAAAATAAAGTTTTAAATGGGTGTATTAATTATTCCAGGAATTTATCTTACCTTTGCAGTTTGGCCTGCAAATAAATTTCTCAAGGAAAAAGTGTTGACGTAATTGAGGCGGAACACAAGGAGTGTGTGTACCTTGTACCTTGAGCTGCAAGGTACACTGTGCCTTGACGTGCCGTGAGTACACAGTGCCTTGACGTGCCGTGAGTACACAGTGCCTTGACGTGCCGTGAGTACACTGTGCCTTGACGTGCCGTGAGTACACTGTGCCTTGACGTGCCGCGAGAACACTGTGCCTTGACGTGCCGTGAGTACACTGTGCCTTGACGTGCCGTGAGTACACTGTGCCTTGACGTGCCGTGAGAACACTGTGCCTTGACGTGCCGTGAGTACACTGTGCCTTGACGTGTCGTGAGAACACTGTGCCTTGACGTGCCGTGAGTACACTGTGCCGTGAGTACACTGTGCCTTGACGTGTCGTGAGTACACTGTGCCTTGACGTGCCGTGAGTACACTGTGCCTTGACGTGCCGTGAGTACACTGTGCCTTGACGTGCCGTGAGTACACTGTGCCTTGACGTGCCGTGAGTACACTGTGCCGTGAGTACACTGTGCCTTGACGTGTCGTGAGTACACTGTGCCTTGACGTGCCGTGAGTACACTGTGCCTTGACGTGCCGTGAGTACACTGTGCCTTGACATGCCGTGAGAACACTGTGCCTTGACGTGCCGTGAGTACACTGTGCCTTGACGTGCCGTGAGAACACTGTGCCTTGACGTGCCGTGAGTACACTGTGCCTTGACGTGCCGTGAGTACACTGTGCCTTGACGTGCCGTGAGTACACTGTGCCTTGACGTGCCGTGAGTACACTGTGCCTTGACGTGCCGTGAGTACACTGTGCCTTGACGTCCCGTGAGTACACTGTGCCTTGACATGCCGTGAGAACACTGTGCCTTGACGTGCCGTGAGTACACTGTGCCTTGACGTGCCGTGAGAACACTGTGCCTTGACGTGCCGTGAGTACACTGTGCCTTGACGTGTCGTGAGTACACTGTGCCTTGACGTGCCGTGAGTACACTGTGCCTTGACGTGCCGTGAGTACACTGTGCCTTGACGTGCCGTGAGTACACTGTGCCTTGACGTGCCGTGAGTACACTGTGCCTTGACGTGCCGTGAGTACACTGTGCCTTGACGTGCCGTGAGTACACTGTGCCTTGACGTGCCGCGAGTACACTGTGCCTTGACGTGCCGTGAGTACACTGCGCCTTGACGTGCCATGGGACAGTATAGCCACCACCTTACCTTGAGGTGCTTCCGGGGCTTAGCGTCCCCGCGGCCCGGTCGTCGACCAGGCCTCCTACGACCACAGCCTACTTCGTGAGACACCTTCTAGAGAAACTTGCCAAGTAGTAACTGGAAGACCTCGACTGGTCTAACAGCTACGTTGTCAAATGTTAGCTGGTGATACAGTTGAATGGTTCGAGCCTTGGCCAGTACCTGTGGCACTCACCCCCCCCCCCACTCCTCACTCAGTACCTGTGGCACTCAGTACCTGTGGCACTCACCGCTCTCTCTCAGTACCTGTGGCACTCACCCCCCCCCCCACTCCTCACTCAGTACCTGTGGCACTCAGTACCTGTGGCACTCACTCTCTCTCTCAGTACCTGTGGCACTCTCACTACATTGATGTCAACCATCCTACAGAAGAACCTTCCCGTCTAGGGCGCCCCTGTTGACTTGGTATGATTCATGAGTGAAGAACAGCCTCATAATATATAAAATGTATAACCGTGGCATGGCTGCTGGTTTGTGTCGAATAGAATATAACGGATGAGGTATAACATGGGCAGGTATAACACATAGGCTACACTTACCCGCTACACTAGAGGTTTACCGTGGGTATATTTGGTGAGGTTTACCTCGGGTATGTTTGGTGACTAATGCAGGGAGAGTATGACGGGTGAAAGTGACCAAGCCAGTATACACCAGCACTTCATGGTGCCTGAGACAAGGTCACCAAAGGTGCCTTGTTGCTGTACTGGGCTGGTCTCCCCCCCAGGGGGGAAAGGTGGCCTGAAAACACCAAATTCCTCCCCCACTCACCCCTATCCCCCCAAAATAACACCACCTCCTACCCCTTCATAATCCAAGGTTAGTCTCGATTCAATGTCACCTTTCATCTATAAATGGCTACGATACGATTCGATATACATTGAGATTCTCCCATTACTAGCAAACAGCAGTAAACAGAAACAAATAGTGTGTTCTCCTTCTGAAAAGTCACACACGAGTCCCATTATATAATGGTTTACGATATCAAATATTCTCCAGAGACGCAAATTCAGTCATCAGCGATTTCTAAAACATTATTTCCAGTCCCTAAAGCGTGACTTGGCCATTACAAAATGTTGCAAAAAAACTTGCCAAAGAAAAACATAAGTATATTTGAATTTACAAATATTAAAGATGTTTATAAATGAAGTGAATTTTTGTCAGGGCCTGTCAATTTTTATCAGGATTTTATTATTATTATTATTATTATTATTACTAAGAATAATAATAATACACTTATTGAGATACAGATTGAGATACAGGGGCATCAGGGTGAAAGAAACTCTGCCCATTTGTTTCCGCCTCCACCGGGGATCGAACCCGGAACCTCAGGACTACGAATCCCGAGCGCTGTCCACTCAGCTGTCAGGGCCTTTGTCTACTTGAGATTTAGTTCCTGTAGATGGCAAAGATTATCTTGGTAATTTAGAGCTCAATTCTGTTATTTTTTGGCTAGGCTGTGTCAAATTTTGGCTAGGCTGTGTCAAATTTTGGCTAGGCTGTGTCAAATTTTGGCTAGGCTGTGTCAAATTTTGGTTAGGTTGTGTCAAATTTTGGCTAGGCTGTGTCAAATTTTGGCTAGGCTGTGTCAAATTTTGGCTAGGCTGTGTCAAATTTATATCGGTTAAGTTGCTAAGTTAATTTCGATTAAAATATATACGTTTGCATATCACAAATTGGACATGTTAATTAAAATAAAATACAATAATTAAATAAAAAATGATAAAAAACTCAGAATTTTGAAGAACGATACCTGCAAAACCGCTGCGCCATTATTGTTTTTGCGCGGGAAGTGCCATGGGAACTGTGATTATGAGAGGAGCTGGAGGAGTGGCGTCGGGTGAGGTGAAGGTCTCTCACCACCACTAATGAGATAATATCTTGGTACGTCAGTTACGTCAGCCACGTCAGCCGTGTCAACCACATAGAATATAATCCAAAAGTGACAGCTTGCCCAGGACCTGGTAAGCTACCCTTCTTTATTGGAGGCAGAATCAGTCAGTCATCAGGCTATATACTCCCTTGTTATACCTGGCCATATTGCCTCGTTATACCTGGCTATATTGCCTCGTTATACCTGGCTATATTGCCTCGTTATACCTGGCTATATTGCCTCGTTATACCTGGCTATATTGCCTCGTTATACCTGGCTATATTGCCTCGTTATACCTGGCTATATTGCCTCGTTATACCTGGCTATATTGCCTCGTTATACCTGGCTACATTGTCTACGCTCGTTATCTTTCTTTGTCTAGCCTTGCAAACAAAACAAAACAAAATTACGACTGAGAAACAGACACACACACACACAAGAGAAAACCGTAATTAACGTGCTGGTGCGCGACATAAAACCTGCCCCACATACAGACCAGTGTAGAATGTTGTTCAAAATGTTCATCAACGCACCAGGATGGGATAGTAAAATGTTCATCAACGCACCAGGATGGGGTAGTAAATGAACTACGCCGTAAAGCCTGAACAATGACTAGCGTTCCCAGAAGCCAAGGTAAAAGTGAAGCCAAAAATATCATATTTCAGCCAAACTGAAGACATTTTAAAAGTCAAGAAATAGGAGAAGAAGCCTTATTAAATTGTTATTAACTTGATTTCGAAGTAAATTTATGTATCTGTGAATATCTACATGATATTTTTCCATATTTTGAGGATACTAAAACAACATATTCAATTCAATGAAATTATTTGCACGACTGTAGGAGTAATACGAGTGACTTATAATTCGTTTGATAAATGCTGTAACATTAGGTACACTTCTTAATTTTGTGTGTACTGGCTACATGTAGATGATTATGTATGTGTGTGTGTGTATATGTATATATTCACTTATCTACAGGTGCTTGTGTGTGTGTATGAGACTTAGCGAAAGAGTTGGATATTTACGAGTCGAACTAATCTCCGAATTCAGGGCGATGACGCTTGTCTGGTCAATAAAAATAGAGAGAGAGAAAGAAGAATTGAATGTCATCTCAAGATTAAAAACGTACACCCTTTAAAAGGCGGCGTACGAGGACGCAAGAGGACGGCATACGCCTCCGTGGACTCCAGTTGAGGTTAAACTAACAGTGACACAGCGCTGGCTGGACCAATCGTCAGTACCTCTTCATTCCTCAGTGTTTACATCCCCCCAGTGTCCTGTTCTGTGACTTTAACTGCGCCGCCCCCCAACCATGACAGGCGCAGGTGATTCCGGACGAGACGATGTTGAGGTCATTTTGAGATACGGACCTTAGAGGTCTCGGGGACGACCTTCGAGGTCTCAGGGACGATCTTCGAGGGCTTAGCGACGATCTTCGAAGTCTGAGATACGATCTTTGAGGTCTCAGATACGATCTTTGAGGTCTCAGATACGATCTTTGAGGTCTCAGATACGATCTTTGAGGTCTCAGGGACGAACTTCGAGGTCTCAGATACGATCTTTGAGGTCTCAGATACGATCTTTGAGGTCTCAGGGACGATCTTCGAGGTCTCAGATACGATCTTCGAGGTCTCAGATACGATCTTCGAGGTTTCAGATACGATCTTTGAGGTCTCAGATACGATCTTCGAGGTCTCAGGGACGATCTTCGAGGTCTCAGATACGACCTTTGAGGTCTCAGGGACGATCTTTGAGGTCTCAGGGACGATCTTTGAGGTATCAGGGACGATCTTCGAGGTCTCAGATACGATCTTCGAGGTCTCAGATACGATCTTCGAGGTCTCAGATACGATCTTTGAGGTCTCAGGGACGACCCTGAGACCTGTAATATATATATACCAAAGACCTTCGAGGGTTCAGGGACGACCTTCGAGGTCTCACGACTTGTGTGGGGGTAGGTACTTGTATTATTCGTTTCTGTTGACACAAGTTGGTACATAGGTAGATAATTTCTGTCTACTAGCAGATCTACTGCATATCCCTCCCCCACACAGCTCAATTTAAGTTTTATCTACTAGTTATCACTGGAAAATGCTCAGCCAAACGATTTAAAACCAGGTCCAAGTTACTGGTGGGTGAACAGAGATGAAAAGGTCAAGAAAAGATACCGAAGCATCCCTCCCTGGCCAGGGCTCGAACCCGGGTCAATATTGTGAGGCGTGTGGTGAGGGTGAGGGCGCTTTTCACTACGTTTTATATAGTTACAGGCTTTGAAAGATCTGTTAAAATATGTATGAATGTGCATATATACATACACACACAGAGGTACAGGGGGCCTCGCGGCTGAGTGGACAGCGCTCTAGGGTCGTAGTCCTAATGGCTTGGGTTCGATCCCCGGTAGAGGTAGAAACAAATGGGTAGAGTTTCTTTCACTTGACACCATTCTTGTCGAGTGTGTCCAGGTAAAGTAGATACTTTACTCTAGATACTGGTAGTAGATACTTAGATACTAAAGTAGATACTGGTAGTAGATACTTAGATACTAAAGTAGATACTAGTAGTAGATACTTAGATACTAAAGTAGATACTGGTAGTAGATACTTAGATACTAAAGTAGATACTAAAGTAAATACTGGTAGTAGATACTTAGATACTAAAGTAAATACTGGTAGTAGATACTTAGATACTAAAGTAGATACTGGTAGTAGATACTAAAGTAAATACTGGTAGTAGATACTTAGATACTAAAGTAAATACTGGTAGTAGATACTTAAATACTAAAGTAGATACTGGTAGTAGATACTAAAGTAAATACTGGTAGTAGATACTTAGATACTAAAGTAAATACTGGTAGTAGATACTTAGATACTAAAGTAAATACTGGTAGTAGATACTTAGATACTAAAGTAAATACTGGTAGTAGATACTTAGATACTAAAGTAAATACTGGTAGTAGATACTTAGATACTAAAGTAAATACTGGTAGTAGATACTTAGATACTAAAGTAAATACTGGTAGTAGATACTTAGATACTAAAGTAAATACTGGTAGTAGATACTTAGATACTAAAGTAAATACTGGTAGTAGATACTTAGATACTAAAGTAAATACTGGTAGTAGATACTTAGATACTAAAGTCAATACTAGTTTTCCCTGTGTCCAGGTGTATGTCAGGGAACTTGACCGCTTGTCAAGCAGGCGAGGTCTGAGCCAATCAGCTCTCATCTTCATCATCAACTCATCATCTTATCATCAGCAGCAGCAAACAGCATCCCGGGGTTCATCTTGGTTTCCTAAAGCAGTTACGTAGCCACTTACGAAACCTGTGCATCTTTCCTCAATCATGGCAGCTTTGTTTACATTTTTTTTTCAAATAGTTCCTAGGCTCCGAAGGACTATACGAGGTTATTGAATTGGAATATGTCACCGTTGATTTTTTTTAATTTTTTTTTTTTTTTTTGCTAGGAAAATTGTCCTCTAGGCGATTTTCATATTTTTATCAGCAATCGATGACACGAAATTGTGAGTTGAATTTTTATATATTTTATGTGGGGGTGAGGAGACCTAGGCAGCCCCCCCCCCCCCTTGGCGAAGTGGTAAGACACTCGCCAGGCGTTTCGCTAGCGCTTTGGCCCGGGTTCGTATCCTGGGCGGGGAGGATTGACTGGGCGCCAATCCTTAACTGTAGCCTCTCTTCACCCAACAGTAAAATGGGTACCTGGTTGTTAAACGATTCGTCGGGTCGTATCCCGGGGAATATTAGTATTAAGGACCTGCCTGCAACACTACGCGTGCTGGTGGCTGTACAAGAATGTGAGAACTCTTGTAGTCAGAGACCGGGCCGCGGGGAACTTGATCCTCGGAATCACCACTAGATAAGTAAGAGGCTTATAATACTTCCTAAAATTGAGATGACTAATGAGAACAGAGACTATTGACGTCTTATAAAACAGTGATTCAGGCGTCTGAGCAAAACCATCACAGGTAAATACGGGTAAATTACGGGTAAATATCAATTTAACATCCGCTAGCTGAGGTCCACCGTAGGGGGGGGGGGAGGGAGCTAGCTGGCTATCATCACTTGGAACACACCGGGAACTGATTACGAGTGATATCCAAAAAAACGTTTAAAGAAAGTGAATTCAATTGTTTCGCTTTCACTCTCGGTGGAGAACCCATATGACTTTATCTGACAGGTCAAGAGGAGATTATATCTTGACGTTATCTTGAGATGATTTCGGGGCTTAGCGTACCCGCGGCCCGGTCCTCGAACAGGCCTCCTTTTTGTTACACATCCCCCAGGAATCAGCCCGTAGCAACTGTCTAACTCCCAGGTACCTATTTACTGTTAGGTGAACATGTGCATCAGGGTAAAAAGAAACTCTGCCCATTTGTTTCCGCCTCCACTGGGGATCGAACCCGGAACCTCAGGACTACGAATCCCGAGTGCTGTTCACTCAGCTGTCAGGTCCCTACCAAGATGACGCTAATGACTATAAATTGTATATCATCTTATCACAGGCACCCCCCCCCCTCCCCCCTCCTTCAGCATCCTCCAATCACAATGTAACTTGCACCAGAAAAAGGAGCCAGTCGGTCGAGTGGACAGCACGCTGGACTTGTGGTCCTGGGTTCGATCCCAGGCGCCGGCGAGAAACAATTGGCAGAGTTCCTTTCACCCTATGCCCCTGTTACCTAGCAGTAAAATAGGTACCTGGGTGTTAGTCAGCTGTCACGGGCTGCTTCCTGAGGGGTGGAGGCCTGGTCGAGGACCGGGCCGCGGGGACACTAAAAAAGCCCCGAAATCATCTCAAGAAAAAATGATATACCTAAAGAATAACATTTTTCTTGTCACATTGAGGGGAGCCAAGACAACCAGGGAGAGAACAATAGTCAAGTGTTTTCACCGTCAACGAAGACTTGTTTTCGTTCAACGTCTTGTGGCGCGACAAAGGTGGACCGCTCGGCCTAATTCCAGGTAGCTGGCAGTTAGCGAGAGGCTCTGGACGCCCAAGACAGGTTTCCAGGCCGGTGTGCTGATGAGCCTCAGGAGGTATGGTCCTGGGCTGGAGGAGGACCCTCCACCGGACCACCGTGGAGAACCACTCATGCATGCGCTGCGCACGCACGCAATCACACACACACACACACACACACACACACACACACACACACACACACACACACACACACACACACACACACACACACACACACACACACACACAAACACACACACACATACACACACACACACACACACACACACACATACACACATACACACATATCCACTACAGCCCCTGGTTGGTCCGGCAAGAACCTATCTAATTGCTTCTTGAAGGTTTAAACCCCGCTACTTATATCCCAATACAGTGTTACCTTCCGTTGATTTTTGAAATAATGTTAAAATATAACTCGTTTCCTTTAGATGTTCAACGATTAAGACAAGCCACGTACAGGAAAGGAAGGCTTTACAGTGGCTTGCTTCCCTGTATGTGTCTGCTGTATGTGTCTGTTGTATGTGTCTGCTGTATGTGTCTGTTGTATGTGTCTGTTGTATGTGTCTGTTGTATGTGTCTGCTGTATGTGTCTGCTGTATGTGTCTGGTGTATGTGTCTGCTGTATGTGTCTGGTGTATGTGTCTGGTGTATGTGTCTGTTGTATGTGTCTGCTGTATGTGTCTGCTGTATGTGTCTGCTGTATGTGTCTGCTGTATGTGTCTGGTGTATGTGTCTGGTGTATGTGTCTGCTGTATGTGTCTGGTGTATGTGTCTGTTGTATGTGTCTGTTGTATGTGTCTGTTGTATGTGTCTGTTGTATGTGTCTGTTGTATGTGTCTGTTGTATGTGTCTGTTGTATGTGTCTGTTGTATGTGTCTGTTGTATGTGTCTGTTGTATGTGTCTGTTGTATGTGACTTGTATGTGTCTGTTGTATGTGTCTGCTGTATGTGTCTGTTGTATGTGTCTGCTGTATGTGTCTGCTGTATGTGTCTGTTGTATGTGTCTGCTGTATGTGTCTGTTGTATGTGTCTGTTGTATGTGTCTGCTGTATGTGTCTGTTGTATGTGTCTGTTGTATGTGTCTGTTGTATGTGTCTGGTGTATGTGTCTGGTGTATGTGTCTGTTGTATGTGTCTGTTGTATGTGTCTGGTGTATGTGTCTGGTGTATGTGTCTGGTGTATGTGTCTGTTGTATGTGTCTGTTGTATGTGTCTGGTGTATGTGTCTGGTGTATGTGTCTGGTGTATGTGTCTGTTGTATGTGTCTGCTGTATGTGTCTGTTGTATGTGTCTGTTGTATGTGTCTGGTGTATGTGACTGTTGTATGTGTCTGTTGTATGTGTCTGTTGTATGTGTCTGCTGTATGTGTCTGTTGTATGTGTCTGTTAACTCTCATGAGGCTCCAAGACAGATGGGTCTAAAACCTGCATTGGTATGAACATTTTGACGTCATATAGTGACGTCACGCACCTTGTGTACCAGCAGCAGGGGTGGGGGGAGGGGGATGAGCTGCAGCTCTTGCGTTCCGCCTCTCAACACGTAATCGGCTGACGTATAACTCCTGAGACCATATTTGATATCATTACAACTACACTTAAAGCTGGATAAGCCTGTGGCATTTGTACCCCACTTCCCTTTTTTTTTTAATGCATTCCACATGTTTGGGATTGGGTGGTTATAAATAGGAGCCGCCTCGTATGGGCCAATTAACCATTTGGTCACCATTTGGTCACCATCTCCCGTCACGCAGGGTGCAGTCGCGCCTGCACAGATCTCCAGTATCAGCTCTTGATACTGGTAATGGCTGCAAAGAGCCACCACTTACGGGCTATTCATGCCCGTGCCACCTTTTGGGTGGCTTAATCTTTATCA